CCTGACAGTGAGAACAATTAACCAGTGGAACAACCTGCCTCCAGAAGCGGTGAATGCTCCAACACTGGAAGTTTTTAAGAAGAGACTGGACAGCCATTTGGTCTGAAATGGTATGGGGTTTCCTGCCTGAGCAGGGGGTTTGGCTAATACCTCAGCAAAGGTCCCTTCCAACTTTACTACTACTACTATTACTACTACTACTACTACTACTACTACTACTACTACTACTACTATTATTATTATTAAGTAACATATAAATATTAATCACTGTCCATTTTGAATACATAATGGAAGGAGGAAGCTTTAGAGTTCACAAGGTTAATACTGTATGGTAATTAATAATGTAAAGAAAGTTTCTGCACTTTATGGAACTCTTGTCATCCCAGATTTCTCAAGTTCTAATTAAATAAAAACATTTTTTCTGTAGGCTATATCTTGGAAAGAGGTCATTATATTTTTAAGATTTCCCAAATGACAAATTTCCATAGTGACAAGTTTCACATATAATAATCTCTAATAGTGTTTCTTTGGCCATGGTATCATGTTTTAGGGAGTCCAGTGATGGGCCTTTAGAAATCATAACTGATACTCAAATATATATTGAAATGCCTCTTTCAGTTACACATATCTTTTCTTACGTTGATGTCAAAATTAACCTTTGTGTTTTGTTTGTTGAGCTCATCATACTAGTTTCTGAAAAAGTACTTCATAAATTTGGCTAAATTTCAAGTCAATGAAGATTCCATATTTTCCCTTTTTTTCAACAGAAGGAGAAGATGAATTTGACCAACTGCACAAGAACAACTGAATTCATTCTTGCTGGGTTGCCACATGTTTGGGGAATGGAAAGGGTGATGTATGCAAGCGTTTTTCTGCTCTACATCCTGTGTCTGATGGGCAATGGGCTCATCATTATGATGGTAGTCATGGATTACCATCTGCAGAAACCCATGTATTTCTTCCTTAGCAACCTTTCTTTCAAAGACATCGGACACACAACCACCTTTATACCTAAACTGTTGCTCAATTATCTCTCCGCTAATAATTCCATTTGTTTGTATTGCTCTGTGATACAATTATGCTTCTATTTTCTTTTTGGAGTCACTGAATTTTTTATTATCAGTTTGATATCCTTGGACAGATACATAGCCATTTGCCATCCTTTGAGACACTCCACCATCATGACTTCGGGGATCTGCCTTAAGCTGGCAATTGGAGCCTGGTGTGGAGGTTTTTTCTCCATAATTTGTCAGGTGGTAATGATTGCAAACTTGCCCTATTGTACTTCCAACATTATCAATCATTTCTATTGTGATGTTGGACCCATGTTGAAGATTGCGGGAGGAGATACGCATCTCATTGAAGCCCTTGGCTTCCTTGCTGTGGTTGTGGTTGTGTCTTCATTTCTTACCTCTTCATCATCTGCACCATTCTTCAAATGCCTTCAACCTCCAGACAGCAGAGGGCCTTTTCTACATGTGCTTCACATCTGGTTGTGGTCAGTCTTTTGTATGGGTCAGTCTTTTTTGTCTACTTAAGACCGACTATCAAGAACTCTTCTTTTAGTATGACAAAGTCTGTCTCCATACTGTATACTTTCATCACCCCTGTGCTCAATCCTTTCATCTACACCATTAGGAACAATGAAGTGAAAGATTCTGTATACAAAATGATAAGAAGAAAGGTTCCAGGTCTCCAAAATCTCTAATTATCTCCAACCCTAACCCTTGGTTAAATGAAATGGAAGGTGATTCCACTTTCCAACAGATTTCTTGTATATGAAATGTAAACCTGTAAACTGTCTTTTGACATTTTCTCTCTATATGTGTTCCTGCAGTTTGGGAAGTGCCAGGAATATCAATCAAGGGTGTTATATTTCACATTGCCTAGTATAGCAAAGAGGTAAGAGTGAATAACATTCAAGAGGGAGTTAACATTGTTTGTTTGTTTGTTTGTTTTATGAAAACTTTGTTCAAAAGCCTGTGTAAAATAAAATGAGGTATTCATGATCAGTTAGATTTCAGAGCAGGACATAAGATTGAGACTGTATCAACCATGCTTGTCAGTGTTAAAATTGGGAAAGCATAGTGCAAGTGTCCTAGTTCTCCTTCATCTCTAGCCTCATTCAGTGCTATCAATCATGGTAACCATCTGGACTACAGAAAGGATTGGTATGGATTGGTCATGACATTTCATGTCATTTCTCTCCTTTTTCTATGGTTAGTTTCATATGCTGTTTAAAATTTACATGAGGAAATTGGGTGTGGTCATCTTTCAGTTTGGAACAAGTAATATCCAACTACATATTTCAACCCTGGACCAACCAAATGATTTTGTCAAGGTCATGTCTCAATTGATGTCTGAATGGGGAAGAATAAGCTGAGTTCAGTCATAGAAAGACCCATTGCCAGAGATAATTGGACTTTATTGTCCCAGATATTTTGTCATCCCAAATGGGATTGCATTTCCATGTCTGGGCCTGGTGAGCTAGTTGTATTTGCTATTTTGTTTTGAAATGTTTTGAATATTGTGTGCCACCAAGATTTATTAAGGAGTTGGGAAACTTTAGAAACCAAATAAATAAATATATAAGTAAATAAATATTGACTCACTTTTATAATATGCTTTGCTCATTTGGACAATTATGCTCTTTTTATAAATCATTTGTCTAAAGTAATGTATTTTTAAACAGAAATGGAACCCAGAAATTTGTGGGATATTGTTAGCTTATAGTGAAGGGGAGTTTTTTCCCCAGTTAGACTTCTCTTATTTCCTCTGTTGATGCCTATTTGATATCTTGTTTTCTGGATTGGAGAACAGTTTTTCAAAAATTAATTAAAGCTTTCCCAGAATGTAGGCTATGGTCCATTTGTTTAAGGAAGTTCTCTATAAGAATGCATATTTATGTACATTATACTCAGAAAATAGATATATACTTTTATAAAATATCTGTTGAGCATCTCTTGCTTTTAATATGAGCAATGAAGGGTGAATAGCTAATTTTGTTTAACGTATTGGTTCGAGGGTACAACATTATGTAAGTAAACATTCAGATGGAGTCTAAATTTATTTCTGAGGGTCCATGGTGTTCTCTGTACTTGGTTGTTTGCTTATAGATGTTTCATTATCCAAATTAAGTAACATCATCGGTGCTAGTATTTGTTTCTTCCCATTCTTGAGGGCATCACAAATGAAGATTGGGGTTGGGCAATTCCATACCAGTTGCATTATTAAGATCATAAAGAATTGACTTTGTATTGTGATGTGTTTCAATAAAGTATGTTTTTAAGCCTTTTCCTTGGGTTGCTCTACACATCATAGTGTGATATTGTGGTTAAGGAGTTGGTCAGGGAATGGAGAGGCTCAGATTCAAGTCCCAATTTGTCCTGAGAGTTCATGAGTGATTTTGAGTCAATCACTTCCCATACAGAGAATACATTTTGTGTGGAAATGTTGAAAGTAGTAACTTGGCATTGTTGGAGCAAATTTTACACAACAAATTTTGAAAGTCTCATGCACTGGTAAATTCAGGTTGCAGGTATAAGGAATTTTAAAAATAACTTCAACAATACTTCAGTTAAAAAAAAACAGTAACCATACATGCATGAAGAGGATTATACTGAAAAATTACAAGCTAGGAAAATATTACTCAAAATCAGTTTATACAAAAGTCTGTATATTCAGAAAATGTCTGCAGATAAGAGGCAGTTTTGCATGAAGCACTCACTCACTATAATAAGTTTAACAAAAAGAAAACTAACACAAAACTTCAGCAAGAATTCCCATATCTCATCTTCTTTGGTTATTACTTTCCCATGATATAAAATGAAGACATTGATATGGACAATTGCCCTCAAACTGACCCAGTATAATATGTGCAAGTATACCAATCTGACAGGAAGAAAATCACTCTTAACATTCTTGTCCTTCTATTCCCTAAGTAGTGTCATTTACACATAGGAGTGCATCTATGAATAACAGAAAATTGTCAAATCAAAATCAAATTAGGAATCTTGACCTCTAAAATCCTTGTATACTGAAACATTTTCAAGTCTGTGTATGCTAACATCTTATTGACCAACTGAAGTGACTTATTCTGTCCATTCTAGATCTGACATTTTGTGATCTCCGCTCTTAAACAATATTCTACTGCAGTGGTTATCAACCTTTTTAATGCCGCGACCCCCAACCAGTTGTAAGTCGAGGACTACTCAACTGGTGCAGCACCGTTTGCAGAATGGGACTTTTGGTGGGCTCAGCAGGGCAGAGACAGCCTGGACAATTCCTAGTGGCTTTTGAAAGCCAATAGAATTAGACTCTATTCAAGAGAGTCTATTCTATTGGCTTTCAAAAGCCAATAGAATAAAAGGGAGTAGCACAGCTAAGGAAAAGGGGAAAAAATGGCGGACTGCGTTGTTTGGCGACCCCCGTGAAATGGTCGTTCGACCCCAAATAGGGTCCCAACCCACAGGTTGAGAACCACTGTTCTACTGCCACACAGAATGATATCATAAAATTCCAAAGTTGGAAGGGGACATTTGGGTCATTGTATTCCACCCTCCCTCCCGACTTTGGTAGAAGAATCCAAACTTCAATATCCCAAAGAGATATTCAAATTCTATCATTCTGGGTTAAATATAACCATGCATGAAGAGACCTCAGCCTTCAGTGCAGATGAATTAAGGAGAGATGTGAGTGGAATACAACACTGAATACTTCACAATCACACACATTATAGGACAAAATTATCTACTACACATTATAGGATGATAACATCCCAATGCAAAGGCCATGATTTTACCACCCTCATAATTCCAACCAGATATGCTTAAGCATACCAGTCTTCAGAATATTCTAGGTACATTGCAAAGATACTCATGGGAAATTAAAGGCTAATATGCATAGACACTGTGTTCCATGCTTCTGTAGAGCAGAAGTAAATAGACTTTATATGATGCAATCAGTTAGATAATCTTTAAATGTTAATGAAAATATTTCTCAAAAGGTCTACCATTTTCCCCTGAACATCATTTTCTATGGTTCTTGAAAACATTGCCTTCATAAACGGATAGAAAGATGGAGTGATAGGTACTGTATTTTAAGAAGACAAGGCATGTAATGAAATAAGAACTGGTAGGTAAGAAAGGTAAGTGTGAAGAGATCTTTAGGTTCATGATCTTTAAAATGGTGACATGGAACAGAATGTCACTGAAAAAGTAACTGTGCATAGACATACATCCAGAGAAGCATCTTGGCTTTTATATTTCTAGAGCCCTTTATTTACTTTCATATTTCTATCACATCCCATGTTTTGTTTTTCAATATTTTACTCGTCTTTTCTTTAGATAATTAACAATGTAAAGAAGGTTCCTTCACAGGTGTATGGAACTCTGTGACCCAAGAATTCCCAAGTTCTAATTTGTACCCAAATATTTCAACTGTAGGCTATATCATTATATTTTTAAGATTACCCAAATGACAAATTTTCAATAGTGATACATTTCACAGATGACATTATTTTCAAATAGTATTCCTTTGGTTGTGGGATTTCAGTTATTGGCCTTTAGTCATCATAACCAATAACTAAATATGTTTATTTAATTGCAGCTACTATATAATAGCTATACATAACCTTTGTTTCTTTGATGTGAAAATTAACTCTTATGGTCTCCCTGTCAAGCTCATAATACTAGTTTTTGAAAAAGGACTTTACAAATTTGTCTAAAGCTTGAGTCAATGAAGATTCCATATTTTCTCTTTTTGTAACAAAAGGGGAAGATGAATTTGACCAATTGCACAAGAACAACTGAATTTATTCTTGTTGGATTGCCACGTGTTTGGGGAATGGAAAGGGTGATGTATGCAAGTGTCTTTCTGCTCTACATCCTATGTCTATTGGGCAATGGGCTCATCATTATGATGGTAATTCTCGACCACCATCTGCAGAAACCCATGTATTTCTTCCTTAGCAATCTTTCTTTCAAAGACATTGGACACACTACCACCTTTATGCCTAAACTGTTGTTCAATTATCTCTCCGCTAATAACTCCATCTGTTTTTATTGCTGTTTAATACAATTATGCTTCTATTTCCTTTTTGGAGTCACTGAATTTTTCATTATCACATTGATATCCTTGGATAGATATTTAGCCATTTGCCATCCATTGAGACACTCCACTATCATGACTTCGGGGATCTGCCTTAAACTGTCAATATCAGCCTGGTTTGGTGGATTTTTCTCCATAATTTGTCAGGTAGTGATGATTGCAAACTTGCCCTATTGCTCTTCCAACATTATCAATCATTTCTTTTGTGACGTTGGACCCATGTTGAAGATTGCAGGAGGAGATTCACATTTTATTGAAGTCCTTGGCTTCCTTCTTGTTGTGGTCTTGATTATGTCCTCCCTGCTTTTTACCCTCATTTCTTACTTCTTTATCCTTTGCACTATTCTTCAAATGCCTTCAACCTCAAGGCAGCAGAAGGCCTTTTCGACATGTGCTTCACATCTGGTTGTGGTCAGCATTCTGTATGGATCAGTCTTTTTTGTCTACTTAAGACCTACTGTCAAAAACGCTTCCTTCAGTAAGATGAAGTCTGTCTCCATATTGTATACTATGATCACCCCTGTGCTCAATCCTTTCATCTACACTATTAGGAACAATGAAGTGCAGGATTCTGTACGCAGAATGCTAGGAAGAAAAATTCCAGGTTTCTGAAGTCTTCAAGTATCTCCAAGCCAACCCTATGTTAAAAGAAATGGAAATTCATTCCATTTGCAAACAGAAAATGAAATGTAAGGTAATTTGTCTCTTGAAGGACTCCTTTATATGTGTGTTTCTCCTGGATGGGGTGTGCGAGAAATAGAAATAGTAATAGCACTTAGAGTCATATACTGCTTCACAGTGCTTTACAAACCTCTCTAAGCAGTTTACAGAGTCAGCATATTGCTCCTAACAATCTGGGTCCTCATTTTACTGATCTCAGAAGGATGGAAGTCTGAGTCAACCTTGAGCCGATGAGAATCGAACTGCCAAACTGCTGGCAGCTGGCAATCAGCAGAAGTAACCTGCAGTACTGCATTCGAACCACTGCATCACCATCAGTCAAGATTGTTGAGATATGTCAGACTTGCCTGAATTAACAAAAAGGGAAGCAGTGAATAACATTCAGATGGAAGGCAATCTGTTCTTTTCTGTTTAATAGATGCTTTGTTTAGAAGCATCTGAAAGTATTGTATAAAATACAATAAGGTATCCATGATCAATTGAGTTTCAAATGAAGAAATAAAGGTGAGACTCTTTTAAGTGTCCAAGCTGGGATGCAATGGTTCGATAATCCTGATGTTCATATAATAGATATACACCTTTGTAAAACACTTGTTGAAATTTTCTTGTTTTTGATAGGGGCAAATAGGTAAATATTGCTTGAAAAAGAAGCGTGGTGGTTCAGTGTCTTAATGGTCTCTGCTTCGGTGGTTTGAGCCCTAGCACTGCATGGTGGGGTGAACTCCTATCATTTGCCTCAGCTTCTGTCACTTAGCAATTTGAAAGCATGTTCTACGAGAGTAGATAAATGGGTACTACTTCAGTGGGGAGATGAGCTGCTGCTTCATGCAGGCAGTTGGAATTCTGCTAGCTCTGAACCTTCCTGGTTGTGAGGCCTATTTGTGAGGCAGCTCTGGTGCAGAGAGAGGGTCTTGGGTGATGCTGCAGGAAAAGGGGCTCCTCTTTCTTTCTGGTGCAATATTAGCTCACTTTCCTTGGAAAGTGTGCTAGCATGTACAACAACAGCGCTAGTAAACTGGCAGCCAAACAACTACTTTGCAATAGCATTGTAGTCTCCTGGCTAATGTAATAGCGGCATACTCTAATAATAATAATGTACATAAACACTCAGATGGAGCCAAATTGGTTTCTTCTCCATCTCTAGGTAATCAAGGATAAGATTTGGTGGGAGGTATTCCATCCCAGTTGGATCATTAAGGTTATCACAATGAATTGAGTTTATATTGTAATGTGTTTCAAATAAAGTTTGTTTTCTAGCTCTTTTCTTTGAATTGCAATACTTGGAAATTCTATACCCTAAAACAATGTGGTACATTGGTTGACATATTGGGCTAAAAAAGGAGAGGCATGAGTAAAAGTCTCTCTTAGTCCTGAAAGCTCACAGGTGACCTTGGGTCAGTCCCATCCCATACTTCTTCTGGGGAAATATTGGAGGGATATCTATCTGACAAGAAGAAAATTACTCTCAACATATTAGTCCTTGATCCCTGAGTAGTATCATTTACACATAGGCGAGCATGTCTACAGAACTTTCCAAATGTTATAAATGCATGAACTTCTTTCTATGAAGAGAACAATTGGGACCCAGAAGATAGTAGGAGTGAGGAAGAAAAAAAAAAGTCTTGCAGCAGAGTCAAAGTGTGAATCTTGAATCCTAAAAATGATCCTTGGATGGTGTAACATTTTCATTTCTAAGTATGCTTACATTTTATTGACAATCTGAACCGGCTTACTTGGCCTATCCTAGAACTGACATTTTATGACCTCTATTCTTAGGCCCTATTCTACTGCCACATGGAATTATATCATCATAAAATCCCAGAATTGGAAGGAGACAATTGGGTCATTCCATTCCACCTCCTATCCCATTTTGGTACAAAAAATGCAAACTTAAGTATCTCAAGAGATATTTCTATTCTCTAGTCTCCAGGTAAATATGACCACTCGTGAACAGACCTCAATCTGCAATTTATTTATTTATTTATTTATGAGACTTATATACCGCTTTAAGTGCAAGCACTCTCTAAGCAGTGTACACTAGTAAGCAATGTATATATATATATATATATATTTACATTGCCCCCAACAATCTGGGTCCTCATTTTACCTACCCCGGAAGGATGGAAGGCTGAGTCAACCTTGAGCCGGTGAGATTTGAACCACTGACCTGCTGAACACAGTCAGCTAAAGTGGCCTGCAGTACTGCACTCTAACTGCTGCGCCACCTCAGCTGATAAATTAGGGGAGATGAGGGTGGGACACAACATAGAATGTGTAATGGCATCATACATCATATGACACAATTATGCAACACACATCACTGTACAATAACATCCTAATACACATGGTATGATTTTGGTGTCCTCATAATTTTGAGCAACTGTGCTACCTTGGGAATTCCTTCCCTTTTATTGAGACTTTGAAGGGTCTTTCAAAACTTAACAACATTCAGGAGACTCTATTTTTGGGAATAAGACTTGAAAGTTGGTCCAAATGAGTCATGCTGATAACAAATAATGTATTCTGGGCATACTCTATGGATATTTATGTGAATTGAGAGACAAATATCTCTAGAAATGGTACCTCAAACTTCTGTAGAAACTGGAGCACTACATCACTAAAGGTTTTACACTTTTAAGCTTTTACACTTCTGCAGTTGAAGAGAAATAGGAACTAGGCCAACCATAAAAGAGTTTCATAGTTTATCCTTGTTGATTTGCCTCCAGAGGACCTCCAGAGGACTCCTATCTTGGGATGCACTTTAAGTTTTATCCAAAAGTTATCAGCCTCAAGTATATTCTAGCTATAGTGTTCAAATGCTCATGGGAAATTAAAGGCAACTATCCTTGGAGACTGTATTCCAAGCTACTGTAAAGAAGAAGAAAATAAACTTTTTATGATGCGATCTTCTAGATGTTCTTTAAATGTTAAGGAAAATATTTTTCACGAAGTCTATCATTTCTCCTGGTCCCAAGATAGGATGAATTATTTTCTATGTTTCTTCAAAATACTGTCTTGATGAATGGATACTGAGGTGGAGTGAAATGTATTTGATGAAAAGAAGGTGGTAATGAAGGAAGAACAAGTCAAGGTAAGGATGAAGAACTCTTTAGGTCCATCTTTTTTAGAATGAACATTTGGAACAGAATTCCCAAGATAGCATAGTTGCTCATAATTATGAGGACACCAAAATCATGCCATGTGCATTAGGAACTGCAAAAATAACCATGATTTCCTAGCATATATTCAAATCGACCTCCACACAGAGAGAGCATCATCATAGCTATTGTATTTTTGAGCCCTTTATAAATTTCATATTTCTATCACAACCTATGTTTTATTTTTCAGTATTTTACTAGTCTTTCCTTAGATAACTATTAATGTAAAGACAGTTCCTGCACAAAAGTATGGGACTTTGTGATTCCATAAGAGCAATGTTTCCTATTTCTAATTTGTAGGGTCCTTGGTTCTCTCAGAGCTTGGTAATGTTCTTCCGGATGTTTATTTACCAAACTAACATCATAAGTGCACTGATGATGTTATCTAGTTTAGTAACGAAACATCTGAAAGAAAAGCTCCCCGCTCAGAAAATAGCAAGGACCCCACAGTTCAGTCCTGAGCTACATATATTTTCTTCTATCAAGTTCTACTTTTTATCAAATTATTTCACATGTACTCTCTATCTTCCAAAAATGTCATTATTTTTTTTTAAGAATTTAAAAAATTCACACATGAAACTAATGGCTAATAGTGGTTACTAATGGCTGCTAATAGTGTTTTTTTTTTTCATTGTGCATTCATGAGATTCCAGTGATGGGCCTTGAGATATCATAACTGATATTCAAATATGTACATGCAAGTGTCTTATTCAGCGAGCATAATTCCACATAACCTTTGTTATCTTGATATAAATATCAAGTCTTGTATACTAGCTTTTATATCACAATATCAGTTTCTGGAAAAGATCTTGAGAAATGTAGCTGAATCATGATTCAGTGAAGATTCCATGTTTTCTCTTTTTTGTAGCAGGAGAAGAACATGAATTTGACCAACTGCACAAGAATAACTGAATTTATTCTTGTTGGATTGCCACATATTTGGGGAATGGAAAATGTGATGTATGCCAGCATCTTTCTGCTCTACGTCCTGAGTTTGATGGGCAATGGGCTCATCATTACGATAGTAATCAAGGATCATCATCTTCAGAAACCCATGTATTTCTTCCTTAGCAACCTTTCTTTCAAAGACATTGGACACACCACCACGTTTATACCCAAGATATTGCTCAATTATCTCTCTGCTAATAATTCCATCTGTTTCTTTTGCTGCATAATACAGATGTATTTCTATTTTCTTTTTGGGGTCACTGAATTTTTTATCATCACTTTGATATCCTTGGATAGATACTTAGCCATTTGCTATCCTTTCAGATATACCATTATCATGACATCAGGGGTTTGCCTTAAACTGGCAATAGGAGCCTGGTGTGGAGGTTTTTTCTCCATTTTTTATCAGCAACTAATCACAGTAAACCTACCCTTTTGTACTTCCAACATTATCAATCATTTCTATTGTGATGTTGGACCTGTGTTGAGGATTGCAGGGGGAGATACGCATCTCATTGAAGCCCTTGGCTTCCTTGTTGCTGTGGTTGTGGTTGTGTCTTCCCTGATTTTCACCCTCATTTCTTACCTCTTCATCATCTGGACCATTCTTCGAATGCCTTCAGCCTCCAGACAGCAAAGGGCCTTTTCAACATGTGCTTCACATCTGGTGGTGGTCAGCCTGTTGTACGGGTCAGTCTTTTTTGTCTACTTGAGACCGACTATCAAGAACTCTTCCTTTAGCATGACAAAATATGTCTCCATACTGTATACTTTCATCACCCCTGTGCTCAATCCTTTCATCTACACCATTAGGAACAATGATGTGAAAGATTCTGTACGCAGAATAATTGGAAGAAAGATTACTGGTCTCAGACATGTCTAAGTATCTCCAACCCTAACCAGTGATGGTATTCAGCCTGTTTGCACCAGTTTGGCAGAAGTGGTAGCTCTTTGTTTTGTTGCCCAGGCCCAGAATGGACTTCCAGAAGTGGCATCCAGACAGAGAACCAGTTGTTTACGTATTTGAATCCCACCATTGACCCTAACCATATATTAAAGTAAATGGGAAGTGATTCTATTTTCCAAGATATTTCTTGTACATCAAATGTCAGCCTAATCTGTCTTTTAAGGACTGCTCTACTGTATATGTGTGTTCCTTCAAGTTGGGGAGTGTTCAAAGACATCATCAAAGATTCATAGGATATTTCACATTGCATACCATAACAAAGAGGTAAAACTGAGTGACATTCAAGTGGAAGGCAACATGTTTTTTTCCCCCTCTTTGTTGAGAAGCATCTCGGTGTACTGTATAAAATAAAATTAGGTACCTGTCAAGCCTCAAAGAATGCTTATGCTGTTTCAGCCATTATTGCTTCTTAGTTTGCCTATGAACTTGGGTGAGGGGAGAAAGCAATGCAGACTTCGGATATTGAGAGGCAGTCCATGAGAACCAAGGACATTCAAGATTGTTTATTGAGAATGAAAGACATTCTCTCATAATAGTTATCTGAATTATAATTGGATAATGTGACCTGCACAAATAGGGGCAGATAGACTTTTATACTTTTCTGTATTGGAGTACAGCTTTTCAAATAATGAAGTAAAACTTTTCCTGTGCATTTGTTTGATATATTATTTGTTTAATTATGTTGTCAAAAATAATATATATTAGATATATTTTATTTTTAATTCATTTTTTATTTATATAATAGATATATACTTTTATAAAACACTTGTTGAAAATTCCTTGCTTTTAATATGGGCAATGAGGGATGGATAGGAAACTTGTTAAACCTCTTGATTGAAAGATACAACATTATGTATGTAATCACTCAAATGGAGGCCAAATTTGTTTCTTCTCTATCTCTAGGCAATCCAGGATAAAGAGTCAGGGAGGGTAGGTGATTCCATACCAGTTGGATCATTACAGCTACTATAATGAGTTGACTTTGAATCAAGATCTATTTCCAATAAAGTTTGTTTTCTAAGCATTTTTCTTCAGTTGAAATACTTGGAAGATCTGCACCCTAAAGCAGTGTGGTACATTGGTTGCCATATTGGACCAGGAAAGAAGACACATGGGTCCAAGTTGGTCTTAGTCCTGGAAACTCACAGGTGACCATGGGTCAGTCATATCCTATACAGAGAGCACTTCTTGTGAAATATTGGAGGCATATCACTTTGAAGAAATAATAGATGATAAGGGGTCTGAAAGCTAAATTATATGATGAATGGTTAAGGGAACTAGGTACATCTAACCTAATGAAGACAAGTTTTAGGGTAACATGATAGCTCTTTTCCAGTACTTGAATGACTCTCACAGAGAAGAGGGGGTTGACTTATTCTCCAAAGCACTTGAACATAGGACAAGAAGCAATAGGTGGAAGGTAATCAAAGAGAAGCCCAACCTGGAACTAAGGAGAAATTTCTGGACAATGTGAAAGATTAATCAATGGAACATCTTCCCTTCCAGAGTTTGGGGTGTTCCACCACTGGAGTCCCAAAGGTGCTTTTTCAAGAGGCAACTGGACTTTCTTGTTTTTCTTTGAAGATGTTTCACTTCTCATCCAAGAAGTTCTTCAGCTCTGACTGGATAGTGGGGAATGGAAGGCACAACTAACACAATACAACAACACAAATGACAAAAAGGCAAGTTTTCTGCCCTACAGCTTAGACAGACTTCCATTCCTCACTATCCAGACAGAGATGAAGAAGCTTCTTGGATGAGAAGCGAAACATCTTCAAAGAAAAACAAGAAAGTCCAGTTGCCTCCTGAAAAAGCACCCTTGAGACAACCATGACCTGGATGACTGAGAATCTCCATAGACATCCATCACTGGAGGTTTTCAAGAAAACATTGGACAACAATTTGTCCAGATGGTATAAGGTCTCCTGCCTTGGGGAGGGAGTTGGACTAGAAGATCGTTTCAACCATATGATTCTATTTGTCTATGAGGTGATGGGAATGAGGGGTACAATACTGAATTCATCATTATCTCATACATCATATGACACATCATATGTAGTGCACATCATTGGATGATGACATCATAAGGCACAGGGCATGATTTGGGGGTCTCCATTATTATGACCAACTTTACTGCCTAGGGAATTCTGGGAGTTGAGGTCCACATATCTTAACATTGCCATGTTTGGAAAACACTAATTTGTAAAGCTTCTGATTACCTAACTGTTCTTGCCACTGCCCCACCAAAAGTGAAGGGGATATCAAATCTGCAGATCTAGAACACTATGCTGAAAATCTTAACTTTGAATTCCATGGAAAAATGAATGGGGGAAAGGGAAAATGGGAAGAAAATCATTATTGGATATTATCTCCAATCTGTTCCTTCACTGTTGCATAGTGTCTTCAAAGAGTCTTGGAAGACTTAATAATATATACAAGACTCTAAATCTGGGAATGGTCCTTAGAATTTGGTCCAGATAAAACCAGATGTGATTCATGTTGATTCCAATTTATCTGTTCTGGGCATAGTCTATGTATATATAAGATTACTGGCAGTGGTGGGATTCAAATACCTGAATAACCGGTTCTCTGTTTGGATGCCACTTCCGGAAGTCTGTTCTGAGGCAGGGAGGACTCCCATGAGCAGAATGGCCCACCGGAAGTGCATGGATGCCTTTCAGGTGGGCTGTTCTGCTCCTGGGAGTCCTCCCCGGCTCAGAAAGGACTTCCAGAAGTGCTGTCCATGCACTTCTGGTGGGCCATTCTGGGCCTGGGAGGCCTCCCCTAGCTCAGAACAGACTTTCAGAAGTGGTGTTCACACACGTCCGGTGGCCCATTCTGGGCCTGGGAGGCCTCCCCAGCTCAGAATGGGCTTCCGGAAGTGGCATCCATGCACTTCCTGTGGTCTGTTCTGAGCTTTGCAAAAAAAGAGCTAGGGCGGTGATGGTAAACCTTTTAGAGACCGAGTGCCCAAAAACTGCCCCACCTGCCCCAGCCTGCTCTGCCCCTGCCCTGCCCACTCTGCCCCCGATCAGCCCATCCCCACCCACCACCTCCACGACAAGCCGCAAATCACCCAGGTGGCCCAACAGTGCCATGGCAGCCATGCCCTCTGCCCACACCCCAAATCAACTGCATGTGACAGGGCAGGGGCAGAGTGTCCTTGCTGCCATGTCCTTGGCTGCACTACTCCGCACGGGTCGTGCTTGGGGGTGACTCTCCTCTGGGGGGTTGCTGGTGAGGAGGGGGCCATGGTGGGAGTTGGGGCTGGAGTGATGGCGCGCATGCCCACAGAGAGCATGAGAGAGAACGCTGCCTCTGGCACGCGTGCCATAGGTTTGCCACCACTGGGCTAGGGCATCAGCCAGTTCACCAAAGTCAACAAAAAAATAGCTACCGGTTCTACAGAACTGATCGGGAGCAGCTGAATCCCACCACTGGTTTTGGGAACTAACAGATATTTCTAGAAATGATATCTCAACCTTCTGTAGAAAATGAAGCATTGCATCAGTGAAGGTTTTACTTTTTTTGCTTTCTGCAGTTGAAGAAAAATAGGAATTATGCTAACTACAAAAGAGATTAGGAGTTTGTGTTTGTTAGTGTGCCTCCTGTCTTGGGATGGCATTTGAAGATTCATCCAAAGCATATCATCCTTGAGTATATTCTAGTTATAGAGCATGGATGCTCATGGGAAATTAGATATCCTTAGAGATTATATTCCAAGCTTCTGTAGATAATCAGTAATTAAACTTTATGTGATGCAATCTGCTAGATGCTGTTGAAATATAAGGAAAATATTTCTCAAGAAGTTGTGCCATTCCACTGATGGTCATTTTGAAATCATAGCTGGTATTCAAATGTGAGTTTGATCCTAGGTAGTGGCTGATATTTGTCTGATGGAACCTTGGTGCTCTCTGAGCTTGCTTATTTTCTTGCAGATGTTTCATTACCCTAACGAGGTAACACCATCAGTGCTAGTAAGGAAAGCTGTTTTCTGTCAGTGTATATTCTGGTATCTTGCCTGTCTATGTGGGTGGGGGCGTTTAGTTGGGTTGTTTACTAATGGCTCTTTGGCACTTTTTAATTGGATTTTTGTTTACTTGATTTTTGGTCTGAAGGTGACCTTGGAGTTAATCTATGCTGATCTGAGGGCTGATTACAGATGGAGAGGTGCTGGAGTCTTTTTTCTCATTGGGGCTGGTTGATTGTCTCTTTTGCATAGTCTATAGATGGTGTTAGCATCTATGTGTCTACTGATGGCTGATTTGTCAGAGTGTCTGGCTTCTAGAAATTCCCTGGCATTTTTGGATTTGGCCTGGTCTAGGATTGTCACATTTTCCCAATTGAATCCATGGTTAAATCTGCCTATATGTTGTGAAATTAAAGAATTTTTATCACACCTTTTGACTGCCAGTTGGTGTTCATGGATGTGTTCTGCCAGTCTTCTGCCTGTTTGTCCTACATAGTGGTTGTTGCAGTTCTTACATTGTATGTTGTGGATTACTCCTGTTGCTGGGTCTTTTGGTTTACTTAGGATGTTTTGAAGGGCTTTAGTTGACTTATGTGCTGTGCTGATTTCATGTGGTTGTAGTCATCGATTTGCAGTTTCTGGGATATTCTTGATGTATGGCAGTGTAATTCTTTTCAGGGTTTGTGTTGGTTATGCTCTGTTGGGTTGAATGGTTCAGTTAATTTTTGATGAAGTTGCATGGGTATCCATTTTGTTGGAATGTGTTGTATAGATGCTCTATTTCCTTTTTCTACTGTTCTGGGTTGCTGCAATGTGTTTCTGTTTTTGTTTTTATTTTTCCTTTTCTCTCTGTCTCTCTGGGCATTGTCTGCTATGAATTTCACAGAGGCATCAGGAAAGGCCTCTGTCTAGTAAATATTCAAGCTCTGTTCAGTCACCCCAACTCTACCCAGATGCAAAGGATTACAGGGTTGTTAAAAGAACAAAAATCCAAATGTGTATATTGAATGTCTTATTCAGCTACTATATCTACAGATAACTTTTGTTAGTTTGATTTTAAAATCAAGTCTTGTATTCTGTCTCTTGCAATAGTTGTTTCTGAAAAAGGTCTTCAGAAATCTTGACCGCACGAAGATTCCACACTTTTTGCAATAAAAGGATGAAGATGAATTTGACCAATTGCACAAGAGCCACTGAATTTATTCTTGTTGGATTGCCAAGAGTTTTGGAACTGGAAAGTGTGATGTATGCCAGCATCTTTCTGCTCTACATCCTGAGTCTGATGGGCAATGGGCTCATCATTATGATAGTAATCACAGATCACCATCTCCAGAAACCCATGTATTTCTTCCTTAGCAACCTTTCTATCAAAGACATTGGATACACCACAGTCTTTATTCCCAAACTGTTGCTTAATTATCTCTCAGCTAATAATTCCATCTGTTTTTATTGCTGTGTAATACAACTGTGCTTCTATTTCCTTTTTGGAGTCACTTGATTTTTTATCATCACTTTGATATCCTTGGATCGATATGTAGCCATTTGCTATCCTTTGAGATACACCATCATCATGACCTCTAGAGTTTGCCTTAAACTGTCAATATCAGCCTGGTGTGGAGGATTTTTCTCCATAATTTGCCAGGTAGTGATGATTGCAAACTTGCCCTACTGCACTTCCAACATTATCAATCACTTTTATTGTGATGTTGGACCCATGCTGAAGATTGCTGGAGGAGACACACGTCTCATTGAAGCCCTTGGCTTCCTTGTTGCTGTGGCTGTGATTGCATCCTCCCTGGTTTTTACCCTCATTTCTTATCTCTTCATCCTGTACACTGTTCTTCGACTGCCTTCAACCTCCAGGTAGCAGAGGGCCTTTTCAACATGTGCTTCACATTTGCTTGTGGTCAGTCTTTTGTATGGGTCAGTCTTTTTTGTCTACTTAAGACCGACTGTCAAAAATTCTTCCTTTGGTATGATGAAGTCTGTCGCCCTACTGTACACTTTCATCACCCCTATGCTCAATCCTTTCATCTACACCATTAGGAACA